TGTGTTGCAGGTCGCCGATTCTTGCTATACCCTAAAATGGCGGAAAGAGTCCATCCTGGCGACTCTCCGACGAATCCCGCCACCGAAACGACGCCGCATCAACAAGTTTCCTCTCCTAAACCAACGGCGGAGAAGCCCGTCACTCCGCCAGGTACTTACGTTATCCAGATCCCCAAGGATCAGGTCTACCGCGTCCCTCCGCCGGAAAATGCTCGTCGTTACCAGCAGCTCACTGGCCGGAAGGCTCGCCGGAGCCGTTGTTGCTGTTGCCTCTGTACTTTCCTCGCTATCATCCTTGTCCTGATCGTCCTCGCCGGAATCGCAGCCGGCGTACTCTACCTCGTTTTCCGACCAGAGGCACCCGACTACTCCGTCGAAAGCCTCTCCATCAAGGGATTCAACCTGACGGCACTGTCCCCAATCTCGCCGGAATTTGACGTCACTGTGAGAGCCCGGAATCCTAACGACAAAATCGGTATATTCTACGAGAAAGGTAGCTCTGTCGACGTTTTCCACCACGACGTGAGGCTTGGAACCGGCGCACTGCCGGTGTTTTTCCAGCCGACGAATAACGTGACGGTGTTCGTCACGGCGTTAACGGGGTCCGGTATTGAGCTGACGAGTGCAATTCACCGAGGTTTGGTGGACGCTCAGAGAAGTGGAACGGTGCCGTTTAAGATTAAGCTGAGAGCGCCGGTTAGAATCAAGATTGGATCCGTCAAGACTTGGACGATTACCGTCAAGGTCAACTGCGATGTGACTGTGGATAAGTTAACGGCGGCGTCTAAGGTTGTGTCCAAGCGCTGTGATTACGGCGTGAATATCTGGGATTGACGGGAAGGGCACGTTTGGTTGTAGAAATAGTTAACGTTCCATTTTTCGTTTATTCTTTTTGTTACATACGGGTTGAAAAGGGACTATACCTTACTTATTATAAGCACTGTAGAAATTATATGATACAATTTTTATTGTTCTTCTAATTTCTGTTTCATAATTTATATCTATTTTTCATTGGGTATTAGTAATTTCTAATACCCAAATCAAACTATGCATTCTGGTGTGCTTACAGTCAAATTTTATGTTATAATAGATGTATATATATATATATATATACATATCATCTTAAGTAATGAAATCTCTAATCACCAAGGACTGTACAACTTCTGATCCACTCTATTCACTCCGTGTAATAAATAACAAAATCTCCACATTACAATTTTTCCAAACACTCATTTTATTTTCTTATTCTAACTTATATGAAAAATGCTCCACCAAAAAATACCCTTTTATTGTATTACTCTCTCCATGTACAAAATCCCACATACCCTCTTGTCTCAACTGCTTATAAAGCTGTCTCATTAGCCGTATCTTACTCCCGATTGCGATTTCCGTTTATCGTACTTGCTCTTCGCATCCTCGATTGCCCTTTCGAGTTCTGCATACATTGTCACGGAACAATCTGCAAAGTTATTCAATTGGCCAAGAAATCCCTCCAAACTTGACCGAAACCGGTCCAGACCTAAATTCCAATCATCAGAAGCTTCATTGTTTAACATATTAGCTGCTGAACCAGTTTCAGTATTCGAATATGGTTGGTTGGTGCCCTTCCCTTGGTTCTTCTCTTGACGTGGTAGAAAATGCGCGGTTTCGGCTGCTAAACCCTTTATAGAATCTGCAACTGCTCTCGTGGGTAATTTCTCAAGACTGTCTAGCCAAACACCACAAGTGGCATATATAGGAGGGCCATAGTTTCTCCATGAAGGGACTGTTGCCCTCTTCTTTCTTCTGGAAGATTTTTGTGGGAGAGAAACACATATCAAAAGCCAAGTATTAATTGCCTGAAGATAGGACTTTTGAGCACCAATCCATTTTGTAAAACTAGAAGAGAGTAAGCTCAGTTCGTTTTCAAGATGAATCGTAATTTGTCTGTGTGACTCTGAATGTACCGGAATTTTGATGGTGTTGTTTCTGTATGCTACGGAGATGATTCCGTATTGAAGCCTGTGACATTCCAACATCACTTCCCACATCCGACTCAACCTGCATCATTGCAAAAGAAAACTCATGAAGGCATTTATCTTTAATACTTCCATACTTCCAATAGGGCGTATAATACCCAAATCGAATTTGGCAACAAAAACGTATATGAAACTTCTAAAATTACTGAAAGTTAAAAGTATCGAAAAGCATATATGTTCCTGCCAATTGTCACATGAACATAAAGATAATCTCACTCATATTTGAATCCCTGGACAAAGTTATCAACCCGCCAAGTTTGACAGCAAGGAAATTGGCTCTAGATGTTTCCACCGTTCAATGTATGTTAGAGTTTCAAGCATTGTAAAATTTGGAACAAATACTTCCCTCACTCAAGAGTTTCAAGCATTGTAAAATTTGAAACAAATACTTCCCTCACTTAACATTCACAGGGATGGTATCCGCGATTGGGCTTTTTTTTTGTACCATGATTTCCATAATGAGGGTAAGTTATTCGTTTTCCTCCCTTATATTTTAGGATAATTATATTCAACGAGCACACTGAATGAGCAACCGGAAAGCTTTAAACTTTGCCATCAATCTCCAGATGAACATTGTAGACGATTATAACTAATCATAAACTTACTTCATGCTCTTATCCAATCATAATAGCAAGACATACCATGTCTCACCCATAGGTAAGTTGTCATTCTCGACCATTTTTGTGTTATGAGTGATGCTGAATATATTATATTAGGTTCAGATTTCCCTATAATGAACAGAAGTTATAAATAATTCTTTTGAATGTAGAACTATTGTAGTGTTTGGGAGTCTATTACTATACAATATTACTATTAGCATTTTATTGCTTTTAACCGTTTAATTCTCCTATTCTTCTTGGTATTTCTTAGCTTAATCCTATTTGGGATTTTTTCTTAGACAAGATGACTAATAACCTCTAGGAGTGAGATTAAGTTTTATTCTAAATTCCCTAACTAGGTAAAACACAAACCCTAATTTCTCTTACAACAACTCAACCCTCTTTCTCACACAAAGAATCATGGAAAAAAATGATTTTTGTAATAAACATGGAAAAAAGTTTATTCGTTGGATTGAAAAAATTGCTCCTCATTGGAGTGAAACAAGGATCATAAGCATTATAATACGTTCCTATCATTTTCAACTATGGAAATATTAGCTTTATTAATAAGATTTTATTATTTTTATATTAATTTTTTCACACTCCATACAAAAATGAGAATTGAATAATCACTTAACTCTCATGATTTCTTATACAAAATTTTATACTGCAAATGAACGACTCACATTGGCGCTTTGTCATTTTTTTACTATAGTCACTAAACTGAAACATGAAATTACAGTAAAATGTTGACCCAATATTTGCTCAACAATAGTCTGCAACTCAAGGAACTGAACACATGATTCTATAATCTAACATCAGAAAATTCAGGATGCTAAAAGTCTATTCGATATGGGAAATTGAAGGGGAGGGAATGCAAGAAATAAGGATAATTTAGTCTTGACAGGAACTACTAGTTTTTCAATTGAAATGTAAACACATACCCTTTAATCAACTCCTCTAGTTGTGGCTGGAGCTCTTGGTCGCGTAATTCCTCGATTTTATTTGATATAGAGTTAATCCTGTGAATAGCAACTATGATCCTTGAGTGAAGATCCTTGACAGAAGCACGAGTTTTATCAATTCGGTATGAACTTTCTCCCTTTGATTCCAGCTGTCTCAAAAATTTGCACTTTGCATCATACATACTTCTAACTGTCTCACTAGCCTGAAATTAGGATGTTGCATGAGATTACAGTCAACCATTTCAACCAACAAGAGAGGTTTATGAATTTTAAATTAAAAATACATATATAGCTTTCAGCAAGAAGCAGTATCAGTAGTTGGGGGAGGCGAGAGGGTGTGACAAATTACTCTGGTGAGAAATCTAAATGATTGGGAGATCAATAAGTATGAGAAGCTTCTTGACACTCTGTCTTTGAGTGTACATGGATGGTAGCAATAATAGTCCAGTGTGGTCCTTGAATAAGAATGGGATTTTTCGATGAAATCAGTTTTTGACTAAACAAGAGGATAATGACATCAGATTTGCGGTTAGACAAATTTGAAAGGTAAAGTCCCTCTCAAAATGTCTTTTTTCTGCTTGGAAGGCCAGTAGAGAATTCATGCTCCCCATTGATAAGCTAATGAGACGGGATAAGGTTTGGTGGATGATTGTGTTCTCTGTAAAAAGGCTGCGGAGACCTGTAATCATCTACTCCTTTAGTGTTTTGAAGGTTTACAAGTTTTAGACCATGGTTTATGGGTTATTAGGAGTCAAATGGGTGATGGCAGGATCAGGTAGAGAAGGTCATGGGCATGGAAGGGAATCAGTGGGAGGAGGAAATATACAGCCATTATTCCAATCACAATCTTTGGCAGTTTGAAAGGGGAGATGAATGTAAGAGCTTTTGAAGGGGTGGATGAGGAGACTGGCTTTGATTTAATTAAGAATAAATGGTTCTGAACCCTTGGTTTTTTGTTATTGCGTCATGTTTTGTATTCTATAGAGGATTTAGGGAACCTTATTGACATGCTGATAGATATGTAAATATTTTGTATACGGATTGGCACCCTCTTGGTGTTTTGGTTAATAATACTGTTTATATTTAAAAAAGCAACATAAGTTGTGGGAAGGGGTGCGGCGGGAGGAGGGACACTGGTAACTACAGTTATCCTCAGAAATAATAAATACCTTTACTTCATCATAAAGCTTTCTCTCCCATGCATATAGCCTATCTAATGTTGAGGCATGACTTCCAGATATCATATAGATACTGTCAAAAAGACTATTATTAAGTTCCCCAATATCATCTGAATTTAATCCCAAAGGATTCCTGGATGAAGATGATCGAGATGATTCAGTCCTTTGCCAAGTCAAGTACTTCACATCAGTTTGAGCAGGTTCTGCATTAAGATTATACAGGATCTTAGATTACCATTATGCAGACAAAATTCATGATATAGAGCAGTCATATTACAAAGTAGGAAAAGTCCGAGTGTTAATGTTTACAATTCACATGATCATATGCTCTCTTGAATGAGCTATACTTATCTATAACTTAAGTGGTAATACTATACAAAGCTGCCATTTGTTACACTCGTGACTTATAATAAAAAATAGATGAATTTGGGAACTGATAGCATCAAAAAGGAGAGCTAAAGCATAACTTTTTTTTTTAATGAAAAAAAAATATAAAATACATTAATATGGCACCAATAGGGTACCACTCATTTACAAGATATTTACAAATTTATTAGTATATTTATGACATTCCCAAAAATCTTCCCACTTATAAATACCGTGCTCTAAAATCAAAGAGGCAAAATAATGTAACCATCTATCCCTAATTTTATACATATCTCCCTTTATCCCTTCAAAAACCCTACTATTCATCTCTTTTTAGATCACCCAAAAAATAGTCAAAGGAATAAACTTCACAATTTTTTTCTTTTTAGATGTCCCCTCCTAAGCTCAAAACTCATTCCTCACCGACCCAATCAGAACATAACTTGTTAAAAGACCTAAGAGAAAAAACAAAACCTATTTCATTAACACTTTCATGGAAATAATTCTTTTCTCCAAGTTTTTCACATCTTTTTAACAGAACAACCCAGATATCAGATTGATTCCAGAAAGCACTAAAAATGCCAATACTTGTGAAATAATTAACATGTATTTTGAAAGGAAAAATAAACTACCTTCTTGAACTTGGCTATGGTCTTCTCCACCACAAGCAAAACAAGCTTTGAAGAATGTAGATGCCGCTGATCCCCCTGCCGTAGCATTTTACAAGCTTTGTTAAAATTTTTACCAGCTCAAATCAGAAACTAAACAGCTGATTTGCATTATTTTTTTGTAATTTAGATTTGGAATTAGTTTTTTCCTTCTCCTCTCCATCCTGGTATCTTTCAAACTCAAGAAGATCATTCATCAACATTTTGACTTGTCAGTATTGAAGCCCGAAAAAACAGAAATTCTCAATGCCGGTGTTCTGTGCTAGATTCACAAACAAAACTTACTGAATGAAAGAAAAGTTGCCAAAAAGTAAAAGAGAATAAAAACCAACTAAATTACTTAAAACATCAATAATAACTTAGAGAGGGAGAGGAGACACAAATTACTTTCTTTCCCTGGAAATATTGGACGAAAATGCAATTTGTTTGCTTCAAGCATTCTTGGAACCTCTTTCCCCGACTCGGAAGCTTTTATAAAAAGAGACTCAATATCTTTCATGCTTGAAAAAAAGTCCTTAGGAGCAATCTTATTCTCAACGGAATCTTCTTTAACTGGCATTTTATTCATGTCAACATGAACAGAAACTGCTGAGGTTGTGGGCCTCACAGGTGATAACATCGGTGAGCTGCTTTTTTCCTCCTTTAAGAACTCCTTTTCCGGAGTCAAACTTCCAGCCGATTGCATGGTATGTGAAGCAGTAACCCCATTCTGATCATGCATCCTATTAAAGTTTTCAAAACTTCGAACCAAAGTATCTGTTGAGGGCTCATCAAATTCATCATCTGAATCCTGAGATTCTTCCTTATCATGAAAAGAAGATTTATCTTCCCCATCTTCTAGATCAGGAATTCCCTCACCTTTCCTCGTATGCATTATGTCATCAACATTCTCAACCCCTTCATTCATTCCTTTTTCCTCAGAAAATTGATGGTCGATTGGATGGAAAAGGCCAAAGTAATCCCAGGGAGGAGTTTCAGGTGGGATTGGAGATGCTTCAATGAAGATGATTCTGGATTCTCAGCTGAATGAGTGTGGTAGCTTGAGGATACTAGAAGAGGTTACCACTCCTGTAATGGGTATGGGAGGCTTTTCTCAACTTTCTGAGAATCCCCCTAAATT